CAGGACTTCCTGATCCTTGATGGTTTGCTTCTGGCGTGCTGGGAAGAGCAGTGAGAAACCATGGGCCTGATCCTGAGAAGGAAGGGCCACCTTTGCAGAAGGTGCAATCAGTTTCAAGCCTAGCACAGAGAGATTGAAACGGGTTGCATACAAGAATTTGCCATGTGTATTGGAGCGTGTGTATCATACAGGAGAGGAATCAGACAAGAAGTAGTAAAACCCAGATCATTAATAGGAAAGAAGCTCACTGCTGAGGATGCTGCTGAAGGGTCTGGTGGTGGTGCCACGTTGTGGCAGGTGCCCACACCAGAGGTGAGCTGCTTGTGGTGGCATCTTCAAGAGCCCATCCTCTGTTTCAAGGTCTCTGCTCTTGCCTTCTGGTACATGTATGTAGTAGTCTTGGTTTAGTTTATCTCATTCTTTTTCTTCTCCATAGTATTTTGGATTCTCTTTTTCCACGACAGCCAAGATACTTATTGCATGTCCTGCATGTTAGGAAGGATGCTGTTCTCATGGACTTAGAGCAGCCCAGGTGAGAGATTTCTTTGGGTCACCCTAGTTGGCTGAGAGTGGTGGTGGATGTGCATCCAGAGCTGTAGGTAGGTGGATTCAGGGTTTGGTGATGCTGTGAGATACAGAAAAAAACAATACAGTATAATGGGAATTTCAAAACAGGGCAGAGAAGCTTAAGATTTATAAGTGTCAGAGGCCAGAAGCTAGAAAGCAGATGAGAAATTTTAGTTTTGGTGTCTGGGTAGGAGGTCAGGGGACCTTTTGGAGGTACATGCAGTAACTGAGAAGAAGCAGGCAGCACGTGACAAACGCTGTGGTCACTGATGAGTGAAGCTTGGCAAGGAATGAATAAGATGGGGATGTGTGGGAGGGTTGCCACAGGGGCTGCAGTTGTGATTAGATTAAATGAAGACTCCATAGAACAAATGGATCTTCTGGGGAACTGGATGGTGGATCCAAGGCTGGAGATCAGGCTAGGACAAAGGAGTAAGGAGGGGATTTCACCATGGAAATTGAAAATGCTGATTTGGAGGTCGTAATACTGGTGTCTGAACCTTCTCTTCCTCAGTGTTGAAGGAGAAAGTGGCTGGATAAGGAAACCAAGCACATAAACTGACTTCCAAGGTGTGCAAGTGCAGTATTTCTCCTGCTTTTGTCCATTTCCACTCAGCTTTGTACCGTGGATCCCTCTGGGCTGGAATCATCCTGTTTGCAGTCTTAAATAAAACTGCAGTGTGTAACTGATGCTGAAACCAGTTTTCTCTGTTGTTTCTGGTCATTAGCCTGTAAAAAGTGTCCTACCCAAAATGTGTCTTCTGCTTTGCATTCTTTGGGGGTGCAGAGGGAAGCATCATACACACAGCTTGCTCGTCAGTTCTCAGCCACTTGCTGAAGCATCTGCAGTTTGGGATAGGACCGTGGATTTAGAGCAACCTTGGGTCTCTGCTGCAGCTGTGTGTATGCTTGAGCGAACCTGTGGTTTGCGTTGGCAGATGCTGACATAGACTGAGAAAAAACTTAACGCTTATTGTGTTTTAACATGAAGCTGCTAGCATTAATCCTGTTCCTCGGCCTTTCCATTTCTGTAATGAGACATTGAAAAGAGGTTTTGCATTTTATTTTGATCACATGCTGTTGTCCTGTAGTGTTTAGCTAGTAAAATATTGTGGAGGAGCTGTGCTCGCTGGGATGCTGCCACTCATCCCATGTGGGATAAGCAGAAGAGGAGGTGGCCAAAAGACCACTTAGCCCTTCTTTCTTGGTAAATACATGCTGTATAGGACATCGAAAAAAATAAGGTTAATTCTGTAGCTCCCCTCATTCAAATATAGCCTTGCTCTGGTCCCATTCTTGTGTAGATCAAGGTTCCTGTTGAAGCTTTGCAATTGTTCTGCTAAAATCCTGGCCTTTTAATTTTCATTCCCTAGAATGAAACCACAGAGCATAACTTTCTGAACTTCACAATATCTGCATTCACAATATCATTGCCATCTCTGCGTGAGGACTGCAGATGCATGATAACTTGCTGTATCAGTAATAGATAAGAGATACTAAACAGCAGGTACCGAAGTGAGATATTTGTTAATTGGCAGGACTTGATTACTTGGCGTGCAGATATTGTAAAACAGCTCCCCTGGTCCCTGGTTTAAACCACTTTTAAATTAAGACTTGAAATACAGAGGAAATGTCAGGGGAGCAGAAGCAGGCAGGTATTTTGCTGTTAGGTTTTAAAAACAAATAAAATGAGTAGGAAAACTGCAGTTGTTTAGCTTGACATCTATTTTTTTCCCCAGTGAAGAAGTATATCAATAAAACAAATGGAAGATCAATAATTAATTCTTCACATCAGGGATATGGGAAGGAGTTAGGTTTGTCAGATGTCACTCGTAGTGAAATTCCACGTTTGGGTCACAAAGACAGCAGTGGCGATGGCGCGATTCCTGTCCGTGACTTCCTCGGCACTGCACAGCCCCTTTAAAAAATCAGAGTAATGAGGCTGCCTGTGACCCATAGGAAATAAGTTGAGAATTTCTTTAACAAATGTGTCTTAAAATGATTTCAGGAATCCTTATTTGGTAGCTTTCTTATTTAGCTGTGTACCACGGGGAACCAGTTTTTAGCCTTCACCATCGTACATTTTTCATGACATGCAGTGCTTCATTATTGATGAAGTTTTCAGCTGACAGGCATGGAAGAGAAAGCTTTAAAAAAAACAGGAGGTGACAGCAGAGAGAAATGTAGGTACCTGTGTAAAGCGGGTGCAATCGAAGGTGAAATAACAGCTGTCAGTCGCGCTTACAGCAGGCAGCTGTCTCCTGGGGAAGCCACTTTGGGTAATTTGCTGCATGCTTGCGACACGGCTGGCTAGACAGAAAATCTAATGTCATTCCTGCACCTGTGAGCATCCAAACAGGGACCTCACAGTGAGCAGGTGATCTTGCAGGTCTCTTCCAACCTTCATGGTTTTGTGGCAAACCTGACGTGTTCAGCTCATAAACACCAACCTGGTGACGGGCTTTCCATTCCGGCAAAGTTCGACGGCTAAAAACTGAAACAATTTTGTGTTCTGTCCCTAGGTCATGTGCAAGCACTCGGTGGCAGCACTGGCAGCAGCAGGACAGGGTTTGGTGGAGCTGCGAGGCCTGTGCTGGGCACCAGCTGCCAGCCAGCGACTGCAGCAGCCTCTGGTCCGAGCCCTCGGGGCCCAGCCAAGCAGCCTGCGTACCAGAGACCTTTGGCAGACCCCGTCCGTTCTTTCAGGCTTCATAACAGTAGCAGTGACAGCTACTGCTTGTGTGGAAGAGGAACATCAGGAGGGAATGCGATCTTCCCCGTGTTTCTGAGATGCAGGTGATCGCTACACGGTGCAGCCCCCTTTATCCAAATATCTTGGCTGCTCAGCAGGCAAGAGGATAGAGGATGGACACTTGAGGTTCCCTGACTTCAGTGAGAGAGGCTGTGTTCTTGGTCTCTTGTAGGAACCTCTGTGGTTTTTTTACTGTTAGTTTGGTGTAACAGCACCCAAGAAAACCTAAACCCTCTGTCCACGCTTGGCTGTTTGCTCCTCCTGGATGCTGAGGGATGCAAATGCTGTGGTCTTCAACGCATCTCTGGTAGGAAGGTACTTCACGAAGTGGTAAAGATTTTCTTTGTGGTTAGCAGATACCTGTTCCTGTGTTCAGTGATTTGCTTGAGTTGTTCCATCCTGTTGCGGTTGTTCAGGTTCCCTCTGTCTTCAGCTGAGTCGTGTTTTCCTGTGTCCCTAGCATACAGTTTCAACAGCCACCACTTGCCTGAGCACTACAGGACTTCACATGGGCCAATTATTATTTTTTATTATTTTTTTTCCTGGCAGTTGGGAAGCCATTCCTGATTTGGAAGCTTCACTAGGTGTTGACAAAAGCAAGAGGTTCATCTTCCAAGTTCTTGCTCTCCCTGTTGGCAAATAAAGACTTTTTCTTGCCCATAAGCAAGAAAAGAGTGTTTTGTTCTGTAGTGGCTTTCTCCAGCTCAACCCACAGGGGCAAATTTGCTTTGCGTCCTCATCCTAAATACTTACCTAAATCAGTTTCACCTCCCCCAGTTTTTCCCCAGATTTTCTCCAGCCTACCTTTTAACCGGATTTTATATGCAGCAGACTCTGCGTGTTTGTTGTGGTAAGAAGAAAAGAGTTGGGTGTAGGCTCCTGTAACTTTCGGATGCTCAGCAAAAAGGGAATGCCACAGTCCCTAATTGGATTAGGTTGTGTCAACAGCACTGTAGCTTAGCTCTGGTGACGGTGCCTAAGTGATTTAGAGCTCATTTTACCAGAGTTAACAGTGTTAATGAAAGCCCCTCTTGAAACTTTCCATATCTGAGGTTCCTGGAGCATTTTCCTCCAGCACTGAATTCTTGGGGTGAAGCTTACAGAAGTGCTCCCTGCAGGTGTGGTGTGAAGCTTTAATTTGAGCTCTGTACCCCTTCATCTACAGGGTTGTGGAAGAGTGTAAGGGTCAAGTTGTTCCCAGGGAACTGAGACTCATCCGTGTTGCATCTGCACGTGCTGCTCTCTTGCTACCCACCAGTTCCACTTCCAGACTGCACGGAGGTTTCGCCCACGAGGTGGTGGTTGAGCAGTGCGTGCTCTGCCAGCCCGCCTTGCAGCACAGCTCTTCTGTACCACCCCACTGAGCACGGGCAAGGCACTGCTCAGACTCAACAACCCTTAAAAATGGTGTTTTGGAGGCATGAACTCTCATTTGGTGACAAGTAGCTGCTTGGGGTTTTTTAAAGCTCTGCAAAGAGCTGGCAGTAACTCTTCAGAACTCAACGAGGTTGTTGCTATGCTAATACTAAGACCAGATAATCCTCGCCCAGGTTGCTCTCAGCTAATTGCATTGTGCCATATTTGTAGCACGTTACATCACAGCGTATCTTTTCATACCTGGTAAGACTTCGTGAGAAACCTTTGCGGTGTAATTGAATGTGTCTTAACTCTCTTATTGCAGGCTAGAAATCTTCATACCGGAGAACTGGCTGCTGTAAAAATAATCAAGTTAGAGCCTGGTAAGTTTTGCCTTCTTTTCTATATTTTGGGATTGCGTTTTCAGTTTTCTCACGTGTTTGTTTTTTCATAGCTGCAAAGCTCCAGACAAAAGAGGTGTTTTTTTTTTTTGTTTTGTTTTTTTGACTGTTTCAGTGGTTAGGTGACAGGAAGCTCTGCAGGATGTGTTACTACTCTCAGTTATGTCCTGCTCACTATTTCCTTGTTCGTTCTTATCTGCCTTATCATTGTTTCATAAAAAGTCGCAGTTACAATGTGTTGTCAGTACAAAGAGAAGATTTAGGACAGATGGTAGATTGTGAGCTCTGAAAGAATAGGGAGCTGGGAGGGGAAGGAGACCAAGCAATGATGCTAATGCTCACCAAAGGTGCCTTGGGAAAAAACAATGCCTTCTGCTTCGTAATGGGTTGTCTTTTTTCTCACCTGTACTGAGAGGATGGCTATTGTTTCCCCATACATTTCCTCACTTCCCTTAAAAGAGGGCAGAGGTTTTCTCACTTCTCCTAAAAGAGCTCACTTGCTACCCAGGAAACTCGCTGAGCTGAAGCCTAATCTGAGTCCTGCACAGAGAGCTGAAATCAGACGTTAAGTCTTCAGTGGAAATGAGGCAAGGAGCTTTTTATCTGTCCCACCTGGGGATCATGCATTTGCTTGAAGAAGTAACCTGTCATTACTTGTTCACTGGAATACCTTTCAAATCCCTCTTTAATGAAGTCCTCTTCTGCATCTCTTTACCACCTTTGTTTCCCATAGCCTGAACTCTTGTGCTGTGTCCATTCAGGGTGGCTCTGGGACAGGGGATGAGGGAGGCTCCTCCTTGTGAATGCAGGCTTTCCCAGTGCTCATGTAGTACCACGTCCTCTATGAAGCAATTAAGTGACACTGGAAATTAATGTATAGTCACAGAGCTAGGAAGTAGTAGGATTTCTGGAGACAGGATGGGATAACTTGTGACTGGGGTGCTACAGACAATGAATGCAGACTCTTTAGGAAGTGGAGGAAAATACGGAAAGAGAATTGGCACAGGAGAGGCTGATGGAGCCACGTGGTTTTTGTTCTGGAGACAAGAAGAGTGAAGAGGGATCTCACCACCATATTCCACTGGAGACGTGCAGAAGATGCCTGGTGAAGAGCAGGCACAAGCAAGGGAGATTCCAGCTGGAAATGGGAAAAACCCTTCACAAGGAGAGTGCTTGTGCTCTGGGACAGGGCCCCAAGAAGTGGTGGTGGGATCTCCATCCTGGAGGAGTCTTAGAAGTTGAGTGGACGCGGCCTGGCAGTGCAGCCAGCCCTGCTCGGAGCAGAAGGCTGGAGCAGAGGACTCTGGAGGTCCTACCAACCTGTCTGCTGTCATTCGAGGGTTAAAGACCAACTCTGAAATGTCTCCGGTCCCTGAACTCCAGCATCTGTGGTGGTGGTGTGACAGGACAGGTTAAGAGTCTGTCGTTTTGATGGGGGTCTTGCAGTCAGTATACCGATAACAACGTGAGGTGGATGCACTGTTTTCTGGTTTCTTGCTTAAGAAAACCCATTGTCCCGTTTGGGTGTAGTTACGTGGTTCTGTTGACTTGGGTTGAAAAGCACAGCTCTTGTTTTGTTTTTGTTTGCTAATTTTTTTTAACAGTTAAAAGTTAGTGAAATCAGAAGTTTCTTCAACTGGAAGAAGTTGAAAAATTCAAGGGAATAAATAAATTAGAAAAAAAGGCTCAGCTTGATTCTTTAGCTTTTTTTTTTCCCTCCTTTTGTGGAAACATAGCATAGGTAACCACTAATGAGCAGCCAGGCCACGTTGGTGACAAAGGGACCCCAAAACAAGGCCACATTCTTTGCAACTCTCTTCTTCGAGACTCAGCAAGGTCTTCTGCAAGCTCAGCTTCATGCACTCAGTGTGGTTCATATGTCAGTGGCTGTGGTTAAATAAACGGCCTTCATCTCTGAACCCACTTACCCACACCAGAATTCACGATTGTACGACCTCAGGAGTGGTGGTCAGTGGGCAAAACCTCAGGTGTGGCCTCACCTCCTGCTAGCAGCACCTTGCAAGCCGCTCTGACTCCTTCAGCTGGTCCCTTCGAGTCTTCTACTGGTGGGTCTCGTGAGCTGGCAACCTCTTCGGAGCAGAGCTGAATTTTCCCTGTCGTTGTTTGGTGCTGTTCACAGCGTGGCTTTCCGTCTTGTTTGGGGATTGCTGTCAGGAACTGAGATGTTGTAGTGGTTCAGGGTGGTTCTCTTGGCCCTGCTTGCTTCATCCTGTCCCCCTGCGACTGTGTCCCAGGGTTTTGGAGGCAGTCAAAAAGTGTCCAGTTTTTCCTCTGCACATCTGTGAAACTCCTCATTGTACAAAGTTGTGTTTACATAGGTGCAAAAAGCAACTGCAGAAATTTGCACGGGAGAAAAATAGATGGAGGACGGTTAAATACAAAGATCCCATCTATGACCGAGAGATTTTTCTGAGCCATCGGTCTCTGGAGGTGGGGGGAGAGCATTTGGGGAAAGCATCTCTGTGTGGTCTGTTTGTAATGCTTCCTTGGCACCCTCCACTGGAAGCTCAAGGCCCCGTTTCTGACTCAGCGCAGCTCCTGGTTGGTTCCGTGATCTGCTCTGCAGCCAAGCAGATGTTTGGGAAGCTGAAGGCAGAAGATGTGTGGGGAGGCTCTGAAAGAAGCTGAAGCTGCTGCCTTGGAGCGATGCGACCATGGGGATGAGTGGTGGCTGCTCAGCGGCCGTGCACCCAGCGCAGGAGCGATGTGAGGTGCTGCAGCCCATGCTTGGGGAGAGCTGGGCACCACATTTATCTCTTAATGGGGCAGAGCAATATTCCCATGATGGAAGGAGGATGATATTAACCTCCTGCTGGTGTAGGGAGAAGCTTCCTTGAGCCTCCACGTTGCTGCACCTGGTGCAAGTGAAGTAGGTCAGGTTCTATTGTGAATTTCACAGGATCATTTAGGTTGGAAGAGACCTCCAAGATCACCCCATCCAACCTCTGACCTAACACTAACAAGTCCTCCACTAAACCACATCACTGAGAAGAATTGCTTTGAAAACTGACCAGAGGCAGAGGCTGAATCCTCTGCTATTGGTGCCAGAGGAAGAGCACGAACCTTGGGCAGCTGAGTAAGTAATCCCAGTCTCTGCTTGTTGCTGCTTAAACACGACAATGAAAAGTGCAAGGCTCTGGCCCCAAGTCATCCCTACTGAGAACCCTATTATAATTAGCATTGATCTTATAGTTCTTCCTTATAGTTCTTACTCTGTTTTTAGTCTGACTTACCACAGAGAAGTGATTTCTTCTGGGTTGCTGTCTTTTTTTTAATTTTTATTTTAATATGTCTTTTAAAACCTTACCAGCCTGATCTCCATCCGCAGCATGTACACCCACAGTCTCTTGGCAGAGATCTTGTCGGGTTTTTGTTTTGTTTTTAAGGAGGGTTCACAGCATTTATTTATTTACGTTTGGTGCTCTAGGATGTCTGCTGCCTCTGTGGGGTAGCTCGATGGTAGCAGCTTACTGTCTTCGCTGGCCAGGAAGACAGAGCTCTTCAAAGTCTCCCAGATTAAAAACAATAATAACAAATAAATAAATAAAAAACAGCTGCACCTTGTGAGAGTTTGTCTTCAACATTCAAACTAATTTCAAGGATTTTTGGGCTGTAGAACTCCAGCAGATCTTGGATCAGGTCAGTGTTAGAAGTTGGTGCAGCTACCTGGGTGCTCCCCCCAGGGGGGCAGCCAGGACGAGCTCCTGCCAGACTGCAGGGCACAGCGAGCAAAAGATTCGTGATAAATTCCATAAATTAGTCACCGGGGAAACAGGCCTGTGGCTCTCCTCGAGTTAGGTACAGCATCTTCGGGAGGGGAGTGGAAGGCTGCCTCACAGATGGGGGGTTAATTTGGAGATGGAAAAATAAATCTCCAAACCCAATGCTAGTGTAATACATCGACGGGCGACTGGGAACAGAAGACAAAAGCCTGTGAAGCAAGGAGGTGAGCAATGTGTTGCATTCAAGCTGCAGGAAAGTGCACGCAGTACGATGGCAGCGCTTTGGGAGACCCAGCAAAACTGCTGAAACGGCGAGTGTGGGTGAGCTGTGGCTTGATCCTGTTACTACCTGTAGCAGAAGAGGGATTAAATGAGTTGGGAGACTCAAACTCACGACCGAGACCCCACTATGACCGCTTTAATTTCATCTGCTGTTGCCTTCCTTTGTCTGCTCTCTGGACAAAAGACATAAGCTCCCTACATAGAAGGTTACTGTCATCAGCTTACTTGAATTTTTGGGCAGTGTGCGAGCTCTGCTACCACAGTTCCTTTAGCTGTGCTGTTAGAATCGAAATAGACAGTGTTTTTCACTTTTTTGGCATAGCCTTTGGAGAGCATTAGGCAAAAGTATTATGGCACGCTAATGACATTTCCCAGCATTCACCGAGTACAAATGCTTCAAATAATTTGGGAGCCAATTCTATTTCAGAAACTAATCCAACTGTACTCAGCAGCGGGGAAGCCAAAACCATCTGAAACACTAAAGCCACTTCCTTCTATGGGTTTAGCAGATGAATCGAGAAGGCAGTCAATACAAAGAGAGAACTATTTGCCAGGGTAGCTCTACTCCACCGAATTTTCTCCCTGGGAAAATGTAAGAAACGAAATATTTTAAAGTTACTAGACGCCTCGTGTAAATACTGTCAGAGTGATAAATAGTGGCCTCGGAAGCCTTTGATGCTTTAAGGGCTGGTGGTGAGCTGTAGTGCAAGATTACAGAAGGATCTCGTTTGTGGTTTTCGTTGGGTTCAGTGAGTGTTTTCTGTGTGAGATCTCTGTGGGAGCCAGAAGTAGCCGGTTACGTCTTTCTAGTTGGATCTTAATCCATGCGTGGAGCTGTTGAAGGGTGTCTGTACGAGGGAAAATAGTCAGCCAGCTCCGTGTAGCTTTGTGCTCGGGACATTCACAGCTGGATTTGGTTCATTACCTTTGGTATCTCGTGGTTCAGATGTGGAGGTT